AGTCAAGAAAAGGTTTTTTAAAAAAATCAACATTTTTTAAAATTTTACTTTAGCATAGTGATGTATTGCTTACCTCAAAAAGACATTGATCTTGGCTAACACTAGGGAAGTTGTCGTTGCTGTGTTCGACTGATACATTTATTCATCAAATTCATCATCAGTGTTTTCTCTGTCTTGGGTCACTGTTAGATGCGTTGTCACATTGATCCTCATCTACGCTGCACCTGCACATCTCAATACCGGGCAGGCTGCTGGCCAAACATCTGTGAGCTGGTGAGCATCTGGTCTTTGCACACGACCATTTGATTAGCTGGAGGTTAATTAAGAAGTGCATGGTGTTTCACACAACTGGTGTGATCAGTCCATCCTCCAAGACCCATCCATGCCTGATAGGATAGGATGTGCTCAGTCATCCCAAAGCCAATCCACTGTTTGACAATTTGCCCCCTTGATAGCCGGTATAAATGCACCCCTTGACAGTGGCTGGTTTTCTCCATTTGTCTGCTTCTTGGAAAACATCCACTGATGTAGCTCTGCAAGTGTCATAAAGTTGGTCTTCAAATGGTAAACTCAGCATATGAACACCGCCAGTGCATTTATGATCTCATCAGTGATGGTCTGAGCCATTGTGAGCGCCTTCAGAGTGCGGAGAGAGTCTTCAGAGACTGCATCAAGTGCCTGCCAGTAAGAGACTTTGGTCTTTCCAGTAGCGTCACATCCTTGAAAAGGCATGGAACCCTGGCAGTGCGGTGTCTTTTAATGTCTCGGGTGATAGGGACACATCTCAGAGGAACAGACAGTGATTCTGTTCCTCAGCAGCAGGAACAAAAACAATCTGGTGGAAGCCTTGGGTAGCATCTCACAGCAAGCACTAGAATGTCTGTGTCTTGGGCCAAATCTAGAGCTTAGTAGTACCTCTCCCTGTGACACTGATGGCATGCAAGATAATTTTAGTGTCAGCCTCCTCATGGGAACGATGAAGAAATTCCACTGAACAGTGTAAGGCAGCAGCTTCATTGTGCTATGCAATTCTTTACACGCTGGAGCATTTTTCCTGTAAGGTGTGCAGTGAAGTCATTCTGTGCGCAAGTATGAGACAGCATCTTCTTCACTGCAGCACTGGAGATGTTCATGGATTCAACTCTTTTGTACTGGACAGGTGCAATACCATGGAGTCTCTTCTTTCTAGTAATATTTTTGAATTGATTCCACTGCATAGGTATGAAACTCGAGGTGGACTTCGTCATAGGTCCATTATTTTTTCAGTAGCCTCAAAATGAAGTGTTCAGCCAAATCTCGGCAGGTGTTAACTGTTCCTGGTTTGTCAAGAGCGTGTGCTTTGGCCATTTCCCCACCCACTTCATATACCTTCTTGTCTTCTTAGACAAGCTCTTCAGCTGGTGGGGGAAGGAGCAGGATTGCCAAGCTGGAGACTGCTGGAGTGACTCCTGGAGCCACAGGAGAAACTCCCATCCAGGAGATCTTCACCCTGACCCTACGGGGAGTGCAGTGAACTCCCAAAGACAGAAGCAGGCCCCCAAGCGGTAAGGACCCTGTGCAAGAAGTAAGGAACTAGGGCCTGTGCAGAAGCCTCCCAGAGCAAGTGACTGGGCATGGTCAGGTTTTCCCACCCTCTGGGAGACAAACCTCAGGAGACTCCTTTACATTACTACAGTCGGTATTCTTCTCATCTGGGTCCTGAGCCAAAGCCCACTGCAGCCAATGGGCTGATATGCAGCGCTCAGCTCAAGAAATACTAATAAAGTGTTGTCTGTTCCCTACCCTGAGAAGCAGCGAGAGTGAGAATTACAGGACCTCTGGATGTAGGCTTCTTGCTGGAAGATGTTAGCAAGCTTTGAGACATACAGGATCATCCTTAATATCCAGATGGGGCAGAGCAGGGGTTTCCTTTTGTATAATCACCACCCGCTGTGTTAGGATCTTTCATCCCCGAAACTTCTGATCATTCAGAAACTTTTGCATAGTTCTCAAGCTGTTTGATTCACTGATTTTCCCACAGTCCATGGGCTGTTTTTAAAATAATTCTCTGGGTCTCCATCACCACCCTTTCCCTTGTTTTTCCCCCTGCGTGCTGCAGACAAGCGCACAGATTTTCCAGTCTCATGTCCACGATAGATAGCTTAAGTGGCAGAGCTTTGAATCTGCTATCCAGCCTGGCATTTTAGGGTTGCTGGTTTAAAGCCTCCAACAGTTCTTTAATGAGAGCCCTCCAGCTGCTGGAAAACAGAGGCAACTTCTGCAGGGACTGGGCCAGACTCAACCAATCTGGTGCAAGGAGGTGGAAACTACATATCCTTGTCCTTATTGATCCCCAGCCTAAGCCGTGGTGTGGGGAATTCACCAGGGAAGGCAACTTTAAGTGCTGGAGATTCCAAAGAACCACCAGTTGTGGAGGCTGGTGAGAGGATTGAGTCCTGAGTACACCTCCTCCCCAACCAGCACTGCTCACTGCATTGCCAGTTCACACTTGGATTTCTAGTTCTGCCACCCTGGGGACCAGAAACTTTTTGTTTTTTTTAAATGGAAGAGGAGATTCTTCTGATATTATTATTGTTTGTATTAGCGTAATCATGGACAAAGACCCTGTGTGCTAGGTGCTGTACAAACCTAGAAGAACAAGGACAGTCCCTGCCCTAAAGAGATTACAAGCTAAGTAGCTGTGAATCTTGATTTCAGGAGCTGGGGCTTTAAAAAAAAACCCCACCAAATATTGCAAGACTTGTGATAAAATGCCACGCGCTGGCAAACTGACATTGCGCTAACCTCACTGCACCGCTGCCAGTTCAGACTCACACCCTAAGAATTTGGCTGGAGTAGGATTTAAAGATGTGATGTGAGCACATTGTAACACTCTTGAAAAGCCTAGCATAGGGGAGGTACACTGTGGCAGATCCTAAACTGGTGTAAACCAACTTAGCTCCAGCAATGGAACCATGATTATTTACACCAGTTGAAGATTGGCCCCAGGGCTATTAATACATGCTAAACTGGTCAAATCAAACTCAAACCCTGGGTGTGAGCGTGGAGGGAGTGACTCAACCCGTTTAGTGCATTTTAAAGACAGTGTCCTTTGTCTACGTTAGACTTTTCAAACATGTTAGTTACCAGGTGTTAGCCAAAATGTGCTAACATCACACTTAAAATCTTAACTCTATATAAGGTCTGAGTTTCTTTTCAAAAGTCAACCTGCTTTTTTTAAAACATTGTAAATATTTTTCACTCTTTGCCCAAGACTTCTTATGGCAGATTTCCGACCAAAGCTGTTTTGTACTATTCAAGTCAAAGCACTAGGAATTTTTTCTTTGATTGTTTTTGAGTGGACTGACCCTAAACAACTGGGCTACTGGAAGCTAGTAAGTTCAAATATGCAGAACTGCTTTTCAGCAGAGTTTAACTGGAGGCGTGCTTCTTCTTTCTGAACCTATCATATTTATGGACAGATTCTTTAATTTGAGTTTGAGTTTCTTTCTTAGAAAAATCTCATGTTTAATTAACAGTTTCAGATAAAAGGAATTCAAGAAGAAAATTAAAAATGCATGAAGCTTCTGGAGTCATCCAATTACTGGGATGGCCACATAACTATGGCAGCCTGAATTTTACAAAGCAAGTGGAAACAGAAATTCAAAGGTTTGCCACAATGAAATGCCATTTTATTTAGAAATCTGCTATTTTAGAAATGTACATATGCATTTCTTCTTCTTGAACTGTCTCAGAATAAGGTAAAGATCAGACAGACTGCCCTGCAAAGCGTACGCACACCCGTTGAGAATGCTTTTTAAGCACAATTTGCTCTTTACTCTTTTAATGTTAAAATATGTAAAATCATCAGAAAAAAATGTTCTTTTTGCATTCAGGACTGCAACAAGAATTTGCAAAAGCAAGTTCTAGGTAATATAGTCCCAGAAACATGCTGTATGGATTGTATATTTCCTGAATTAGAGAGGCTTGATTCAGTCACTAGGATACTGTTTTCTTGGCAAATACAGAACAAGGATCAAATCCTCCCCCTCCCCCAGTGATGGGCAGATCACACCCAGCTCCATCTTTGATGGAAATTGCACCATCTCCCAACTCTCTCTCTCTGGCTGAGGTCAGCTTTTGGAAGAAACCAAGGAGAGGTAGGCCATGACAGCCCCCATCCACTAACCACAGGGTCCCATTCTCCACCATTGGGTGATTTTACTGCTGTATTGAACATGTTTCTTACCGAGATCATACGTTCCCTCCTACCTCACCACGCTGCCCCAGTCTTCAAACTAATCTTTATCTCCACCCTTCCCTCCCCCTCCTCTTGCCTGTCCCTGTCCCAGCGCACCACTCTACCTTTCCGCTCCACCCTCTCTCTTTCCTACCTATTCATCCTCTGCCACCTCCTTTCCTTTCCTCTCCCCTCCATCTGACCTCTCCAGCAATCTCTTCTTGACTTTTTTTAAAAAGTAGCTTATAAACAGGTTTTAAAAATCCACGACCGGGACAGAATCCGCTACATTTTGTAATTAGTGTGCGTTACCTCACATTCGTTTTTATTTTACCGTGCCCATTGTCCTCCCACCCTCCTAATGTGTGTCAAACTCTCTTGTGAATATTCTTTTTAACAAGGGGATCATATCTTACTCTATGTATTTGCACAGTGCCTTGCATTGTGGGCCAGCAGGGAAGTCATAGATGTGGGCTGGGAGAGATGCTGACGGCGAACTGGCTCTGACCCACAGTCAGAGGAAGAGATGTGACAGAACACAGACTGATCCAACTCCCAACCCCCACAAAAAAATGTTACCTCAAAAAAAGTCCAAAACATCCGGAATAATAATAGGGACTAGAACTGAGTCTGATGATAATAGCACATAGATAGTTAAAGAGATACCATCACCTTCCTTCCATCCGTGGGGAACAGCCAACCACTGACACACACATTCTCATCAGCTGATTTTTGTTTAAAAAGTATGGACAACTTTAAAGAGATCTGTCTGAATTCAAAATATTTCTTAAAATGTGTTTAATAAAAACACATGTATGCAAGCAAGCGAGACATGGAACATTATTTGTTCAACATTTATATGGCCAAACAAACAAGATATTAGATACATTGCAGAAATACGGACCCAAACACACAGAATAAAACTGCAGTTTCTGCAAGAGAATACAGCTTACATTTTCCCGCCTAAGCACGTGTTAAATACGTTAGTCATAGAAGTCATCGAATTCATCGGCATATGTATCATGGGTTTGTGGACGCAAAGCGGCTTCAATTTCTGAGTTGCTGTCATCAGACTCACCCCAGAAAGCTAGGAGAAAAAAATTAAAGCAAATAATAAATCAAAATGTTTTTATGCAACCATGTATTCACACACGCTATAGAAAGCTTTCACGCAGCAGATCAGAATTAGGACAGACAACAGCTTTTCAGAAATGCTATGTAACTCATAAGAACGTAAGAGCTGTCATCCTGGATCAGACTATAGTCCATCTTGCCCAGTATCCGGTCTGTGACATTGGCCTGTACCAGCGCATGAGGGAGAGTGAACAGAACAGGGCAATTTTGGAGTGATCCACTCCCAGCTTCTAGGTCTAGGGTCACCCTGAGCAGGGGATGCCACTAATGGACTTATCTTCCATGAACTTATCTAGTTCTCGTTTGAACTCGGTTATTGCCATGGGATGTTGTGATGCCAAAAGTATAAGTTCCACAGTCAGTTGCATGTTGTGTGACCAAGTCCTTCCTCTTGTTTGTATTAAACCTGCTGCCTATTAATTTCATTGGCTGACCCCTGGTTTTTGTATTGTGTGAAAGAGTAAATACCACTTTCCTATTCACTTTCTCCACACCATTCATGATTTTATCTTGACCTCTATCGTATTGCCCCCCCCCTTAGCTGTCTCTTTTCTAAGTTGACCAGCCCTAATCATTTTAGTTTCTCCTCATATGGAAGCTGTTTCAGAACCTTGATCATCTTTGTTGTTCTTCTCAGAACCTTTTCTAGTTCCACTGTATCCTTTCTGAGATGGGGCAACCAGAACTGCAAGCAGTATTCAAGATGTGGGCGTACCATGGATTTATATAGTGTCATTCAGATATTTTCTGTTGTATTTTTTATCCCTTTCCTAACAGTTCCTAACATACCATTAGACTCTTTGACCACTGCTGGGTATAGAGCGGAAATTTTCAGAGAACTATCCATGGTGACTCCAAGATCTCCTTCTTGGGTGGTAACAGCTAATTTAGAACCCATCACTGTATTAGGCTCATTATTATAGGTACAGTTGGTTTTATACTCTTAGGTATGAATTTCCAACACACTGTGTAGCTTACAAGGCTTATTATTTGTTAATTGGATTGTTGTGCACAAACACTGCAAGCTGATTTAGAAAGTCCCACTTCATTGTTGCGCAAGGTAGTTTGATAAAATATTTCCACTCAAAGCAATTTACTTGACATCTGCAGTCTGACTGAATTGGAGCTTTGTCTGTTACACTCCACTTTCTCTATCTACTCGACCCTGAAGTGAAGTCACCATCACACTGACATCACAGAGCTGGCATGGAAATGGCAGTGATGTCACAAATAAAGTACCTGCAGGATCAAATAGGAATATACCAGAGAAACAATTTAAAAACAGATGATTTTGGGAATTAGCAAGTGTAGCAAGAAATTTACATAAAATAATAGCGAGAGGAGCATTTTAATTCTGAAGTGAATTCACTCATTTCAGTGCTAAAGAGAAAAACATGAGCATTACTGCAAGTTTAAAAATGTGTGGGGAAAAATACAGGAAAAGGGGAAATGCTGGAGAAATGCTGACAAAGATTTGGTTCAAGCTGGGGACTTGTCAACTCTTTGTTTAATAATTTTAACTCATTATCTTTCATTCTAACGAATGCCATGTAATAACCTTTCCCCCCTAACATTTGTCTGTGCCGGCATGTTATAGGAGGGTTGCTTATGAATGCAGGTCTGGCTGCTGCTGTGAATATTTTTAATAGGAAAAGAGCATGGAAGCATTTTGTTTTTAAAACGATAAACAGGAAAGTGACATGGACTTTACAAAAAGCTAGGAGGAGAAGATGGGGCAAATTCTGGCCCTACTGACTTTGGCAATGTCTTAATATAGCGTTAAAAGCTCCTGTCTACTTCTGCAAGCATAGGAGACAGCCTACAGCAGGAGAAACCAGCTGGGGGAGGAGAAGCATGGACATGAGGCTGCTACCTCCATGGCACATTCCTCCTCCTCTTCCCAGTTGCACAGAAGCCCCTCTGCAGGAGCCCCATGGGGGTTCATCCATGCTCCACCAGGTTCTTCCCCTTCCAGCCTTGTGTGTAAAGTGGCACAAGTTAGCACAGCCAGTGTGTGCAGTAACTATTTCAGCTTGACCCTCTCTCTTGTGCAATCCTCCACTCCAGATGGGCTTCTGGTGGCGGCTGCTTGATCTCAGCAGCCATATTGCCCGGGGCAATGGGAGCAGGGAAAAGGAAAATGGCCTCCACATACTTTTATTTTAACTCATTCATTCTATTAAAAAGGCCTCAGAGCTCTTAGTGCTTTGGGCAATAATCAAAAATACAAACCAACTACTGCCCACAATTCCTGCAGGCTATTCCCTTCCTCATAGACCCCTTACTCCAGCGGGTTAGGGGTCTGACGCTTCACCTCTTCAACTGTGGGTGCCACAGTGGGGGCAAATCACCCAGCTTCCCTAGCCTAAACTCCACAAACTGGCACTCGCGGCCTTTCCGCTCCATTGCAGGGGAGTCACCAGCCTAGCACAGTGATGGGAGTCTTCAGCACTCTTCAAATCAGGATTCGTCAACAGCATCCCCATCACAGCACAGATTGCCCATTCCAAAATATGTTCTCTGTGGTTAGGGACTAGAGGGCCAGTAAAGGTGGACTCCAGATGCAAAACACTCAGGTCCCGAAACTCCTTTCATTTACAGCAAGGCAAATTGGGGTAACTCAACCGAAGGCAGTGGAATTATGTTGGTGCACAACTGACATTAGAGGAGAATAAGGCATTCATTGTGCAACGCGTCTATAAAAAGGAAGCTCACTTGCACATGCAAAGATGCACCATTGCGCACATACATTTGTGCACACAGCTACGGAAATAGCTCAATACATTGCTGGCAATTCTACATCGGATTTACGTGTTCAGTTGTGAGCTGGCACATGGAAACTGATTGTTTTATTTTGTTGCTGAAATGCAACCCTCGAGAGCAGTACAAAGTCTGGGATCTTCCTGATCCTCAATCTGGTTCCAGGGCAGGGACTTGGGCATGTTCAGTGGAGTCTTAGACTGCATCCAAAACAGCCCTGCTGCCAGAAGCTGGGAGCAGTCCAGGTCTGTTCAGGGTAAAAGATCTGTGATTGACGTACACCCCGATACAGGAGGTTTAATACTCCTTTAAAATTTGTTAGCATTAACTTTTTGTTAGCATTAACTTTTATAACTCAGGACATTCTTGTTATCCATATAAATGTCCAATCCTTACTGAATCTTGCCAAGTTTTTGGCCTCAGCCACATCCTGTGGCAAAGAGTTTCACAGCTTAATTATGCATTATATTAGAAATTATTTCTTTTTACTGGTTTTGAAGTTGCCACCTTTCAATTTCATTGAATCTCCTCTGGTTGCATCTGAAGAAGTGTTTTTTTACCCACAAAAGCTTATGCCCAAATAAATCTGTTAGTCTTTAAGGTGCCACCAGACTCCTCCTCGTTTTTTTGGATACAGACTAACACAGCTACCCCCTGATACTCTGGTTCCTATGTTATGAGACAGGGTAGACAGAAGCTCCTGATCCACCTTCTCAATATTATTGATCAATTTATATAGTTTTATCATGTCCCCCCTTATCCATGGTGCAGATTCATTACTTTGGCTTGCATATACAATATACATTACATTGAGAAAGACGTTTCTAAATAGCATATTTGTTTCTCACCTTTGGATTTTATAGTGGTTATTCTCCTTTTGCTTGTGTTCCTGAAAAACAAAGTGATATTTACATATTCAGAAGATGGTAAAACAGCATTAAAAGTTTAGGAATCAAAGTCAAATCTTCTATCCAAGTTAAGATAGTAAATTTTTTAAGTTCTATAACTGCATCTCTATTTTTTTGGATTAAAAAAACAAAAATAAAGGGTTCAAGGCATTTTAGAACACAGGATGGTAAAGTTTCATGCACAGCAATGACATTCAGGGCTAGATCATCAACTGGAGTAAACCAGAATAGCTCCATTGAAATCAACACTGATTTACCCAGCTGAGGATTTGGCCCTGAATGTCCTTGCTGTGCACGGAACCTTTACACTTTTAAAAATACATGACGGTAAAGAAAAAAAAACAATCAAACAAAAACAATCCCCACCAAATTTCCTTATTTCCAAAACTGTTCTTAGAACTTAGCTACTGGGTTCCCATAGCATCACCCATGTCCCTATGTAAATGAGCAGCTTTTCAGCCGCCTTTGATCTACCTTGATGCATATGCAGTTGCAATTCTGTTCTGTTAAATGACTGATCTTGTGTCTAGAGCATCACAAACCCTTTTCACTTTCTCAAACAAGCTGGAATCATTTTGATCTTTTGTGTGCAGCATGTGTATTGTGTTGGTGCTGTGAAATAATCATGTAGGGGGCAATGATGTAGGAGAATTAACGGTTATATTAACAATCCTGTGATAAACACTAAAAAATAGCTTTTCAGTTGGTTTTCATAAGGAAGGTTGAATAGGAGATATTTGTGATATGGCTGTTCAAACTGTTGAAATATAAACAGATGACAATTTGAAACCCTCGCGACAGTTAAAACAGGACTTATTCTTATATCAATTAAGTTGAGATTTTATACACCTGTTGTATTCCATTAAAAAAAAAAGAGAGAGAGAAATCCTAAAGAGAATGATTTAAAGCCAAGGGTTTAAAAGAAATATTCTAATAACTATCACAGGAAAGTCAGTGAAAGATCCTAAATGTCAAAACATTTGTACAAATAATCTCTGAATATTCCTTTACATTTTTTTTTTTTTTTTTTACTATTTTACACATTTCTCTGTTTAATTACAGAGGCTGACACTGCAAATTCTCACTCAAGCAAATAATCCCACTAGTGAGTAAGGGCTCAAGGACATGGGCTACATTTACTACAATCTACTAACGAACAACTGAAAAGATAAACTTAACTGACAAGCAAGAGAGCAGTTTAATTACACTCCAGCGATAACGTGTTTTACCCTTTTAAGTAAAAGAAATATGTTGTGTTGTGTAATAGGTTATTTTATATTTCTGTTGAACTTGGGCAAAAATCCTAGGTCTACAATACGCTAACTGTCCTCACTAAAAATGTCTCAGTTAAAGTTCAACCAAAATATTAAACTGAAGAGTTTACATTCATATATATGTTGTATATTACAAATGTTAAAAACCTGTTTCATTACCAAACAGTCAATACATCTTGTTGAAGCAAATTATTTTAATTTATTAATCTTACAGTATTAATCTTACCATTTTACACCATTCAAACGAAATCCATTAGAGACCCTTAGTCATGAATTTAAAAAACTCTTGCACACACAAAGCAAACAGTACCACATTTTGCCCTCAAGGTGAGGTTCATTAGACATTCAACTTTACAACCTCAGCTCCAGTTCAACAAAGCACTTACGCTGATGGCCATCCCTATTCATCTGGCAATGAACTTAAAAGATGTGCCTAACTTTAAGCACATGCTCAAGTCCCTTTTACTTTAAGTGGTCTGCACACATCGCTGAAAAGGGGCTGAATCTGGGGCTGAGGGCTCAGTCCTGCAAGGTGCTGAGCACCCTCAACTCAACATTTAGTTTAGGAGTTGACAGTCTGCGGCATATCTCAAGGAGGCACTTGACACCTTACAGATTCAGGCTCCAGAAATGGATTTCAGGAGATGCTGTTCTGGTTGCAGCATCGTTTTTTCCCTGGGATAGAATCAGTTGCCAGCTGTTGTTGAGTGAAGTGGCTCCTGTGACCGACTGTGCGAGAACCATTTAATCTTTCATGTATTTCAGCTAAGCAAAATCATCAGTTGATAGCTGCTGTTTACAGTCAGTCTGCTTCTTCATCTTCCATTACCAATAAGTGAGGGTTGATTATTATTCCACCAGGGTAGAGAGTTCAGGATGCCTCTGTGCCTGGCTTCTTTTGTCTGGCCCAGCCCCAAATACATACAAGACAGAACCGATCACCTGGACCCACATCCTTGAGTATGCCGGAGGATCACACTGCACAGCTCGGTAGCGTGGATGGAAAATTGGCCTTTACTTTCCCCAAATTTTGGGCTAGCTGGGTTTCAGTGGTCCCCTTCCAGAACTTAAAGCAGCATGAAACCAGCACTATGTTATGCTTTCTGTCAACGGCCTCAAGGGGACGATATGGTAGCCAGGGATGATCAGGGCTATAGGGAAGCCACGATCACAGGACCTTGGCCCCCTTCTATGGTAGCAGAAGAGAGAGGAGTAGTGTCTGAGTCACTCACGTGGCTCTAAACACCAAAGGATCTCTCCCCACTGGGATGATTCTCCCATGGCTGATTGCACTGACTTTAGGACCAGAAACCACCAGCAACATGGCACAGAGCAGCAGCAGCATATCAGGATCTTGGCCTTGATGTGGTAGAACAGAGGATGGACAGCAAGGGACATGGCTACTGAAATAGGCATCAGAAGAGCATTGGTAGAATTCTGGGACAAATCTGGAAAGTCTTTTATGAAAACACTGGCATGTACAAAAGGCTGGGGTATCATTAGGAAATGGGAGACCAGAGGAATGGACAGTGGAGAACGACCAACTGTTCTGAATTCAGAGTTGCAAAAAGAAAACCTGTGGTAAGTCTAATTTCCTAAGCAGCCTCCTGAAATTAAATGTTGGCCGGTGCAGAGAAAAGATACAAGAGCTCTCTGTATTCCAGAAGGTTTATATTCGGAATCAGCAAATACAATTATGACAGTCGTCATCCAAACCTGCTTGGGAAGAATTGCAATAAGGGTCTATAAAGGAGATAAGTTGAGGCAAATTTATAGACTCTCATATCTACATGCTTCAATTTCTCTAAAATGCATCCCAGCATGGAACCAGTGATGTCAAGGTTCTATCAAAAAGCAGTTTAACTTCCAAATGCAAATCCAAATGCATCTATTTTTCTCTAGACCAAATCTCCCATTTTGATGCCTATTTAATCTGTTAAGACAAGGGTCTATATGGAAGATGCTCTGGAAACAAAAAGGAAGTTTAAAGTTCCTAAAGAAGAATATTTTTCCCCATAAAGAAAATTTCGATAGAGGTGGTCTAGATTCCCTTTGGTACATTCTACCAGAGCAAATCAAGTCAAAGAAGTTTCAGTGAAAAACAGAAAAAACTTTCTTTTATTTCTGTGCTGGATACATCTCTGGCAGAGAACTTGTTGAACCCTTATACCATATGTTAAGTGAAAACAAAAATATGTTCCATCAGAAAAAACAAACAAAACTGAAAAGGACCTAGTTATAACAACATTGATATTCCATAAAAATATGCCTGGAAATAGATTGGCTAATCTTGTAAAATAGCTTGAAGCCTGTGCGAATCTATCTTGCAAAAACATTGTTGAGACACAATATCGTGCGGTAGACAAATAGAATTGTTTCTTTTTCACAAGACAGTTCTTAGTAACCCTCAGAGTGTGAGATAGCAGGTATAGAATTTCTTCCCAACAATGACTTGAGATGAAGTCGTGGTCCTTCTCCAAAATTACTCATTTTTCAAAAATGTCTAAAAAAGCTCATCACTGATAAAATGTAAGCCTGACTACTTAATTCCAGTCTCCATGCGGTGACAAAATATCTCCATTCCTGGGCGGTCATTTTTTTTTTTTCCTGTGAATTAGAATAAAAACTAGCTTCAACCTGAGCTATTATTTCCTCCTGAAAAATAACTCGTTCAAGATAGGTGCAGCTGATGAAGATATTTTTCTGTACTTTTAATAAGCATGAAAAAGAACAGTTGGTTTACTTCTAATGGATCATTTCTGAAGAAAAACCAGACAAATGTACTTGAGGAAGATAAATGGAAACTTAAACAGAGAATTATGACATGAATCTTGCTTCTATAAACTAGATCCAATATAATTTAATTAATAATAGAACTCAGGACTACATTAAAACTAAGGCTTCCAAGTGCAATCACATCTGAATTATGATATAAAGATCTAAGATGAGACAACATATGTTTAAGACCAGACTCTCTAGTCATCAAGTTGGCAGTGGATTGCAGAACATTTTACCCTCACTCACTACACCTGGAAGAACTGATGCACAAAGGGTGAAATTCACCCAGGTGCAGTGATTCCATACAAGGCCTGCCGGACCATTTAAACCCCACGGTGGAGCTGTGTAAGGGGAGCATGTGATGTGGATGCAGAGAAGGCCTCCATGTTCCATATATAGTAAAGGGAATCTCTCTGCCAGTCCACAACAGGCCTGAATCATAGGGAAAGAGGGGGTGTAGGGATCATGAGCCATCAGATCTGCATTAGGGCATATCTTAAATCCTCGACACAAAAGACTCAGCAGGGCAGTGGTGGCTATTGCACACCATAGGCTGGAACAGTGGCTGCTGAAGAGTTGAGAGTTTAGGGTGTGTGGGAATTTTTTCCTTTCTACTACCACTTAGTTCCATGCACAATGCTCATGTAAGTCTAGCTATGTGCTGGGAGGGATGAATATTCACCCAGCGCATCCTGTTTCCTTTGCTAACAGCAAAATCACAAAATATAAAATTGAGAATGAAAAAAGTCCCAGCAACTGTATAGAACTGATATCTACTTGCTTTTTATAGAAGTTTCATAAAAGGTCCTGACTAGTCAACATAAGAAGCTAATGATACATATCGTTAAGATTTAGAAATAATGCATTACAGTAAGTTTTGCATGTGTCATGCTTACACTACAATGTCAGAAATACAGGCCTGAAATCAATTATTTATAAAATGTTTACTTCTTTGCAAAGAGCTCGAAAGATTAAAAGCATTATAAAATTATGTTACAATAAATCACTAATCAAAGATCTTAGTTAGGCATTCATTCTCTTATGTATCTCTGTGAATAAGTGTAAATATGATAAATTATTTAGAATAAATATACTCAAGACTGGTTACTTTCAAGGTTTTGGATCATTATTTAAGTCCATGTAAACTTTCTAGAAAATATATACACTTAACCTCATACCTGAACTCTGTAGCATCTCCTTAGAACTTCAGACAAAAATAATTTTCTTACAAATCAATTAAAAAATTGACAAGAACTTAAGAAAACAGGAATTAAGGGCCTCAAAATAGTACACATTAACAACTTGAAAAAGCAGGATGAAATTTGGAAGCTGTTTTAATTTAGCAAAGTCTGAGTGCCCCCTGATGGTCAAACTGACTACCTACAATACAATATGCTGTGGCATTTAAGATTGCATGTTAGTTACTCCCTCATTATTAAATACCTCTTTATAAAATAATTAAGAGGATGAATTGCAATTGGCAGATTATTCACTAAGAATAATCACAAAATTAATAAAAATGCATCTTTGGCTTAAGAAATAGTTTGTACAGAATATAACAGACTACTTCTAGAATACAATTTAATCACAATTAAAAATACTTTAGAGAGTGTTTATATGTTGACAAATTAAAAATCTTATTTCTTAGTCTACAATTTATCTTTAATCTTCAGATCATTCTGAAATGTGACAAAGCAAATAAGCCTAAGAAAAATAAACTGCCCGCATCAAAATACAGAATTATCCAGAATGCTAGTGACCTCCACTGGCTGATTCTGTTGCTACAAGACTACAAAATGCCACACACATCGTGTTCTGCCCTCTGCTTTAGAGAGATTCAGTCATGACCTTTTCTCCCAAGTAATTATATTACTTAACACATTCTTTTCTTTCGGCAAAATATTATACTCTTCAAACTAAAGTTACGTCTCAGGCAGTTTAAACATTCTCGGTAGAGTAAATGAATCCAGGGAAAATAGTTTTATAGCTAAGGCAAAACAGGACAATATTTGTGGGAGAAGAGGAAGCTATGGCATGCACCTCTGAACAAAAGGGAACAAGTGGTCTTTACTCAGAGAGCAGCTTCCTATTAAGACTCACTCCTTCGTACATTATGCCTTTCATCCCCACTCAACCACAAAATGATTTTGCTGTAGGAAATACAATAGCAGAAAAAGATTTACATTGAAAGAATCTTTAATAATAAACTGTTGCAGATCTGCCTACTTCCCCATGATTTATAATACAATAAATATCGGATTCTATTAAGTCTCATGCACTGAAGACATTGCACTGAAAAACTGAATATAAAAGAACTCAATTCTTCCCATCTCCAGTACCATAATAGTGAAATGAGCATGTATAAATGTGCTAAGAGTATCTCTTTGCATCTTTTATAGCTTGTGTGTATTAATCTGTAAAGCTTATTAAGAAAGTCATTGCTATGCAAAGCAGCACCCAATCTCTTTCTCTTGCTTTTCAACAGAGTGCAGTGTTTAGCCAATAGGACTGGTCCTCTGCCCCTCATTCTGCATTCATAACATGCAACATTTGCACAATGTATCTCTCAAAGGCTGCTGAATAGAAAGCCTTAATACTCATGTAAACAACTGCAAACCAATTACTTAATGAATCAGGCCCACACATAATGAGGTGCCAAACAAAGAGCTATAAATGCATTTTTGCGCCCAAGCCTCTGCTTTAAAGTAAAATCCCTCAGCTGTAGTTTGGGCTTAACTGGCACATCATAATTATTGTTTCTAGGACATCAGAGGAAGCCATTTTTTTTTTATTTAGGTCCAGCAGGGTCTTTTTCGAGGTCACTCATCAGCTCAGTGACAAGATAGAGCAAAGGAGAATGTTTAAAAAGTACCACAGCAGTACTATACTGTTATGTTTATTCTCAAGTGCTGGTTTCGAGACCTCTTGTAAAAGCCATAAAGCACAAGAAGTGACTGCAAGAAGTGGGATCCTTAAATGTCAGCATCTAAGAAATGTCACTGCATCCCGACCACAAATAAGCAACCACCTGAGCTCCCTATTTCCCATTCTTTCATACTTCTTTGGGTACTTTACGCTTCCAAATATCTTTGTAAGACAGATGTCAAGTGTCCAGTAGCAAATGTTACTAATAGACTTTATGTTGAAAAGGCAATATTATTTCTAAGTTATTCAGGAAAATAACTTTATGATACTACTTTAAGAAAAAAACTTTAAGAAAAAAATCTTGAAAAATATCTTAATCCAGGAATTTAGTTTTAAGTGTTTACTTCTAAGAGACCAAAGGCATGAAATTATAAGGCAAAGTAAATGGTTTCCAAAATCTGCCGAGTGTGCATGTGAATCTGAAAAGGTAAAATTAAGACTAAAGAATTTTACATGAATAGCATTTAAATAAATGTTGAAAGTTGCCAACATACATTATAAACCAGCACTGTAACATGCTAAACAAAGTAAAATTAATGCCTGAAAATATTTTTGCATAGTTCATTAAATTGTACATATTTTCTTAAAAGACCCAAGACCTGCATTTTAATAATCACATTAAGGGCCTGATCCTTCTCTCACTGAAGTCAACGAGAGCAGAGGGCTAACCCAAAATGTATAAACATGGGGCTTTTAAAAAAAATTACAAAAACAAACTCATTTGCACTTCATAATATTAGGTTTTATTTACTTAGCGTATCAGTCTCCCAAACAGAAATTAAGTTAAGTTTAATCATCTTAAAATGGAAGGTTTTATTTTAAACAAAAGCAAACACCTACTTTGTCAATATTTTTCATAAGTCTTAATTATTTCACATGAATTAACTTTATTGCATTGGAATAAGAGAAAATATTGTGATTTTTAAAATGAAATATAAATCAGCACAAAATAAGAAATTAAGATTTCTTCTAAAATTATCTTGGAACTGTTTCCTATGACAATTAATGTCCCCAATAAAATCATTATGAATATTACAAAGTACAAAAGGATGTAAACATGCTGTAAATATAGATAAAATTAAATAATTCATCAAAATACTTAAAAGTATTTTATCGGCAGTCATAAATGTCAGTTTTCTGACAAGGAACCACATACTAACAGAACCCACTTACTGTGATGTTTTAATAAGCATCCAGATTACAATCTAAAGCCAAGCTAAAATTTCAGGAGATAGTTGATAGTTGTATTATATTCCATTTTATACCGTTTCTTGACCACTAATTTGACTGCCATTGTTTGATTAGTATTTCATGCTGATGACAAATTCAAGGAACATCTAAGATCACACAGCTCAAAGAATCAAAAGGAACTGCTGCAGTTTAACAAATCTAAAAAGATAAATTGCACCTTTAAGAAAAAGGCAAGGTCATTAATTAAACATACTCATTTTGAAAGGAAAAGAAAAGTAACAAATACTCTGGCATCGAATACTTTTTAAAAAATACGTATTGAGCTACAGTTAGTTTACTTCTCAGCTACATCTACAAGAAGAAACATGCCACTTTATTTCTTCAAGACTTTATGTTTTATGTCTGCCCTTTTCCTGACAACTTCTATTGTCTGGTCTCTAAGTAGCCCTACTGAGAGCAGCTGTACACGCTAATTTGTGGTTCACTGAGATGTCAATTGAGTCTTAAAATGAGAAAACAACAGCTGCAAAACAATACCTGACTTTGGTGCAAATATTTTCTAAGGTGTACTAAAGTTTAGGTTGTTATACTGAATAAACACAAATACGAACCTTAACCCTCGTTCAAGTCACAGACAAAATAATACATATTCAGAGTTTTATTCATTTTCTACTGGCACTTCTTACTCTGTTAAAGCCATTCAGAAATGAAATGGTCTAATGACTTTACCTTGACAAAGGACTTCTTCCTTCACAAGATGAAAAACTAGCTTCAGAACTGATTTTGTTGATTTTCTTGGTCTTGAAACTATTGCTATCGATATTCAAACCTGTGGTAAGTATAAACACCAAATGTAAACATTTAGCAAACACTTAATTAAAAGGTAGTCCACACAGTAACTTTTGACTTACAGAAATCAATGGAAACAGATATTATTTAAGCAACCGAGAACAAGAAGGTGTCTTGGACTCTGAAATCAACACTGTATATTGTAAAATAACTGTTCACTATGTGTTTTTTTCTTGTGATATTTTGGAAGAAAGTACAATCGAAGAGTATCAAAGAGATACCATTTTAAGAATCTGTTTTAAAAATGTACAGTGATACTGGAACAGAATGCACTAGCAAAATGTGTCCCTGACATTTTTAATAAACTGGCCAATTCAATCTCCATTGCTTGGACGGGGCACTCCCATGGGGTAGGTTTACTTTATTTGTAAAACAAAATAAAAAAATCCTCATCCCTGACCCCATTACCACATGGGACTCTCTTTAAAACCTGTCCATGTCATTCCATTATCAGTCCTAACCTCTGTCAATCTGCAGAACAAGGAGTTGACTTGTACTTTAGTTCTGTTTCATTTGTTTTTACACTTGAGGTTTTATTCTCATGACTTGGCAGAACTGACAACAGTACAACACACAATCTCCTTCAGACAGGTGGAAAGTTATTTGTAGAAATAACTGCACACAATTAGTGCATTTTTGCACATTTTAACTAATTTTAGAAAAACAGCCTTTGGGGTACTGAGATTCTGTTCCAATAGCTGTATTTGCATCATGTGTCAATTTAAGCAAAGTCTCACTGTTATGTATATTTTTTCTCAATTGTTTTCTTTTCCCTTTTCCTGAAGTCTTGTTTACTTAGGTCACTTATTTGCCTTCCTCTTTCATTAGGATTATTTTCAGAGGGCTACAATTCTTTCTGTTGCGGTAGGTCATTCCTGCTCCCTCTCAAATTCTATAAAATACTTAATGTTGTGACTTAAATAGACAACAAAATTTGTATTTTAAGGTTCTTTTACCGGTTTGCTTTTTTCTACATGCCTCTTACTTCCCCTCTATGCTTCAATGAGTACAAATTGTATACCAATTTAGTTCCAACTCATCAATATAATCAGGTCTTTTCTTAAATATTTCTGAACTACAGGGCTTGATTCTCAAATTACAGTACACTCACTTTAAGGCTTCTTTGTATTGTAAAGGCGATTGAGGGTAAATGAGATTTGGGACCTAAACATTATTTATGTGAGACACAACTGAAAACCAAAATATGAATAACTGTAACTCTTACCAACTTCATTCTATCCCCGAAAGAGTAAAATATAATTTCTAAGTCTCTGACAGTTTTCCCCCTACAAGTGGATATGCATTTCATAATCAGACAGAGTTTCTATAACCTGAATCACGCATACAAGTCTGTTAACAGATTTACAATACACAAACCCTCCTCACAGTGTGTCCTGCACTTCCAACAAAGAGGCCAAAAAAAGAAAAAAAATCGTATTCACGGGGGAAGATGAGAGGAGGTAGAGTCTAGGAGTTCTAGTGGCAGCAGTATGCCACTTCACGGGGAGAAGTCTGACCACTTTCAAAAGAGCTGGTGACACGAAAAGAAACTTTGCTGTGAGGGAAAGAGTGAGGAACACATGCAGAGAAGCACATGTACCCGTGGGAGATCAAAAGAGGAGCTCCTGGATAAGAGAGTGAAAGCAGTTGAGCTGCAGGCAGTAGCACTGGAATCAAGACAGGCACACATCAAGAAAAGAGATTTTATTTTTGAAAGCTTTATAATGTTAAGTTGTTTATTTGTAGGTTTCTTTGAGCAGTGAAGTACTACAACAATTTTAATCCAATTTGGATGAGTTAGGTCTTAATGGAATCACTTTATTTCTAAAGACCACAGGGGACAAAACACAGATTGAAGATTGTGGCTTTAAAAAAAAAAATTTAAAAATATGATCTTAAGAACTTTTAGGGTCAGCAAATCTTGCACATGCAGCAAACATTGTAGGCATGGCCTCTTTTATGGGAACAAATGGGGTGTATTTTCAGCAGAGATCCAACAGGAAAACAAAATGTGGTGCTCTGCCCACAAAATAAGCGACACCCTATCAAATTAAATGCCCTTAACAGTAGGTTATGCAGATGTGCAAACTATGATTGGGCATGTCCTCTGAGCTCCTCTGAGTATGGCGTGAATATGCCCATGGGCTCTGCTAGCCTCCTGGAGTTGGTGGCGGGAAATATGTGGTGGTATCTCCCAAATGCTACCCCAACTGTGGCACCAAAATAAGACCACTCGCAGTAAATGGTGCAGATCTGTGATGCCCTTCTCTCCTTTCTTACGCAAATAGTTAATGCCCCTGGGCATCTGAACTAACAACTCACTGAGAGGACTGGGGCAGTTCACACCTCCCCAAGTTATTGCTGCATGCTCTCTGCAGACTCAGAGAGATCTTGGCTGCTGTTACGCTATGTTCAGGTTTTTGAAGTTTTCTTTGCAACCATGACCGTTGGAGATTTCCTTTGGTTTTGTTTTATACATGAAAGCTGAGATTCAGCAGAATAAGGCAGCAACTTGAGAGGGTGTCATTACATCATACTGCTAGTTAGCGGCCAAATCGGAGTCCTGATTTTCAGATTTATATGAGTGCATATGGAAGGCAGGGCTGAAAATTAGAAACATGTGCATCCATGGAACATAGATTTTTTGGGGGGGGGAAAAAGACTTCTATTTGCTCAGTTAACTATTCTCACTAGCAAGGCAACTAACTGCAGGTCAGAGTGTCACTTTTCCAGACCTTTTAACTCCTACTGAAGTTCTAATAAAAAGTAGTCTCGGCAGTTCATCATCTAATAGCAGTAGCCAGGGATATTAATATCAGCTTTAACCACATATTGAGCAAGCACTGCAGGATATAAATAGGATGGATGGGCTCAAATCTTCACATTTTCCCATGAATACCTTTACTTCTAGATTAGCATAATTGTGTCACCACCACAGGTCAGAGAGCACTACGCATTAGGGTAAATATGCTTTTTGGACATTCTTAGAAGATTTGGTAAGAGTGCTGGGGAAGGATGGAGTGCTAGACCGAGACTATCCCTCATTTAAGGCTGGAAAGCCCGACACCTATCCAGGTTCAAAGGAACTTTTTAAATGCCACGGGGCAAATGTGGGAGAGGAGCAGCGGACTTTTGTGACTTTGCCATCTTCTGGTTCTCCTCCCTCTTTCATCACTCCTTCAGTGTCTCATTTGGTGGGTCCTCATCTCCTCCTTCCCTCTTTTGGTGGGAGTCCCATATGGCTCCATCCTAGGCTCCCTCCTTTAAAGCTTTTGCACCCCATCTTTGGAGGATATCTGCAACTATGGCTTCAACCACATTCTTTGCCCTGATGACTCAAATCTACTTCTCTGCTCCAAACCTGTCTCCATCTGCTCAAACTCATTTCAGCCAGTCTTTAACATCTCATCATAATGTCTAGCCATCAACTGAAACTTTATACAGTCAAAAATGAGCCCTTGTTCTTTTCCCACCCATCTCCTCCCCTCTCCTTGTTACATCAGGGTTGTCAGATTGGCTTCACCTTGGACTGCATATCTCTTTTTATCCACCCATACAAGCCATATCTATTTGCTGCTCCATCTTCCTATACAACCTTTCAAAATTCCAGCCTTGTTTTTTTGCCCATGCTGTTAAAACTCAAGTCCTTGAACATCTCGCATCTTGAGTATTGCCTTCTGCACTGCTCTAGCATCAACACCTGCACTCTTACCACCCTCACCAGACCCTTCAGACATTCTTTGCATCGCTTCATTGGCTTCCTCTTCTCCACCACACCAAACACAAACAACTTGTCCTCCACCCTTAAGGCCCTTCATAGCTTAGCTTTGTCCTACTTTTCAACTGTAATACAATATTGTGCCATGAATCCCCACTCTTGCCCTACCGATACCAGCTTTCATTGCCCATGTTTTCCTCAAGCATTTTGTACTTTCTTGCATCCCACCCGTTACGAATGTGAGAAGTCCCTTTAAAATCTAAATACACTACATTATCTTTCTTCTAATCCTTACTTAAAACTCATCTCTGCTGTGATGCCTACAAAACATTTGGGGGGTTAGGGGAAGGGGACTAGGCAGTTGGTGTGCTGTGACTGACGTTTACTATATAAACGTGATCACTTTGCTCATACCTCATCTTAACCCGTACTTGTTTGGGGAATCCACCTGTCTCTTGTCATATGCCAATATTTTAGACTGTTATGGGAAATGTCTCTTATTACAAGTATACAAGTGCTTAGTACAATGTGGCCTTGATCCCTAGCTGACAAGGTTTATGGCAGTGCAAGTAAGTAGTAATAATTATATGCATTTGTAGTGTTTCGTCATTGTGACAAAACATCGGTAACCAATGCAATGTAAAGGCACAAAATGTAAGATTTAGTGGCTATGTGGTCTGTTGAGAGAGCAAATCTTTAAGAACAGCCAGAAAGAGACTTAATTTTTGTTCCTTATAGAACTGTGGCTTAGTTCAACATTGTCCCTTGGAAAATAATCCAGTGTTGGCAATCACACTTCCCCAGTAAAACAGATCATATCTAAGGCTACATGTAAACTACTGCTAAGCATGTAGCGGTTACTATATTTTCCAGCATAATCATTGTCCTAATAGGTTTCTTATTCACTGTATTGTAAAACAGCTTGTGTACAGTAAAGCAAGCTTTGGGATAGTATGAAACACTACATAAAACCAAATTCTGTGCTATTCTCTTGGTCTAAAACTCTAATTCTAGTACGCTAATGATATCATGCTACAGAAATCCCTCACCTAAATTAACCTTATTAAATGCAAAAAGCTGTCCTAACATAACACTAGGCTGAACAGCATTCAAAAGTCAACAAAAACAAAATTTTTAAAAGAGCACTCAACCATATGTACGACAATGGTGCCTTTAATTATGTAATGGCATGCTTTTTCCTTAAACCATTAAATACAATATTTGTTTAGAGAGAGACTTAAATGTGTGAGCAGCTTAGGTAA